GCCTACGTCACAACACTCGAATACCACCTCGCACACGATTCGCTCTGTTATTAAACTCCTCTTGCCTGTAATAGCAACTCTCACTCAAAACAAAAACGCAGGGCTTTCTGTTTCGGCATAAAAATCCCACAAGCAGAGAGTTTAGGTAGCCATTCCCACGACTTTCATGGGACTGTCACACTCATTCCGACGATTTAAACCTGTAAGAGCATTTCACGACTCCCCTAAACGTGTGAAACATTATTTGATTCTTGTACAGCGTTTGACATCTGTTGTGTGAAGTATATTTAATTTCGACGTTTCAGGCGGTCATTCTGCTCTAATTTTCAAGAGACTCATTAACGCTGGCCTTGTAATCCCGGGGTCTCGGGTTCGATTCCTGTTCATATGGACCTGTCGTCCGACAGAACACTAAATAATAATAAGATGAGGTGGTCTAGCGGTTAGAACGCTGGCCTTGTAATCCTGGGGGCTCGGGTTCGATTCCTGTTCATATGGACCTGTCGTCCGACAGAACACTAAATAATAATAAGATGAGGTGGTCTAGCGGTTAGAACGCTGGCCTTGTAATCCCGGGGTCTCGGGTTCGATTCCCGGCGGTGCCCGACTTTATAACTTGTGTTGGGCAAGGCCGTGGCCTAGGCAACACGGAGTTTTCCTCCGTGGCATCCCAACAATTACTCCATTCACACACAGAAGAAGGCAATGGCAAACCACTTCTGGATCATCTGCCAAGAACGTATATGAACAGGTCCCAGTCCGAGAAAAGGATGGAAGGATCCTATTCATATGGACCTGTCGTCCGACAGAACACTAAATAATAATAAGATGAGGTGGTCTAGCGGTTAGAACGCTGGCCTTGTAATCCTGGGGGCTCGGGTTCGATTCCTGTTCATATGGACCTGTCGTCACGCAACATCAGATACTAACCGGTAAAATTCAGGGTGTGAACTATTATCATCCACCCAGTTCCATAAAATGCTAGGAACGTCTACAGTGTCTGACCGGTGGGCTTCTCAGAGGACACCGTTCCACGAGTTAGTTAAATGGGTCATGTTCTGTTAATTAACTAAAATACGTACAGACTTCAGCGTTCAGCTATTTTAGTCACTGAATCCACTTAAATCCATTCGCGTGGGTACAGAGGTTAAAATATCACGGGACCATCGTCAGAGTCACCTAAGCAAACAACTTGAGTAGCCATGCAATTTGGGCGCACATGGCCGAATGGATGATTACGTAAACGTCTTTGGAAGGTCTGAGAGTTCTAGTACGAAGGAAGGTCGAGCCACTTTCCTCGCTGGTATGTGCTTTATGCACGAAATGCTGTTGAAATTTTGTGTAAGAGATCTACAGTAAAAGACGTGTGGAAAATTTTATTCTTTTGTTCAAAATACGTTAATTTCACTCTTAAATTAAAAAAAAATTGTGTTAACATTTGAATGAAAGCCGCGTAACATATTACCTAGTAAATATATCTTCATATGCCATGTATTTTAAAGCGAGACTTGCATATTAAGGAATATTCTCCAGAAAATGCATTTACGTAATACTAAAGCCAGAACAGACGCGGGTAATATACAGGAGTAATTTACGTAATACCAGTTTTCGACTGATCTCTGATTATTTAAAAATCGAAGCTTTCGTCGAGCTAACATTCAAAATGGTTGCACTCCCGAACGATGGCGTAAGGTGAAAGTTTTTTCCCCTGGGGTGTTAACCGGATATCAACAGCTCATTTGTGATCAGGAATCAAATTCTATGGCAATGCCGGCCACACCTCTAGGGTACTTAGATCCGCGGCAACTGCAACATTCTACCGGATCTCAATGAGATACGGAATCTCTCAGGCCACCCAGACCTGATCCTGCTGCTAGGGAAAATCCTGTCGCTTTCTACGGCGTCTCTGACAGACAGCACGGTCCCCCCTTCCACCTTAGCTTCGTTACTCGCACGCCGAACGAACCTGGTAAGACCTGAATTAACCAACCAGTTTCGCTCGGAAAAGGTGATCCTATTACGGACATCACACAAAGGAGATGAGCGAACACGTAGCACGCACAAAAGAGCGATGAATGTCAATCTGTAAACGTGAAGAGGATCTCAGTGTAAATGGAAGGATAATATTAAAGGAACAGGATGTGGGCACGTGGGCTTGATACATCTAGCTCTAGAAAGGGATCTTCCAAATATCATAATGAAACTTCTAGACAAGCTTAGCGACTATAAGTTTTTCTATAAGAACAGGAATCTGCTTCGTGTCGTACTGAGGATGAGGGCGTTTGTAATTCACTCACGTAAGAATCTTGCACTTTATTTAAAGGCGGAGTCGGCAGCTCAGATTTCTAGGTCGAACGGTACGATGAAGTAATGAACTTGAAAGGACATGTAAGGATGCGGTCATGGCCTAATTCATGGTAATATACATATGCCTGAAGGGCCTGAACAAGAACACGAAAAACGTATCAGAATAGTCGAACTCCGAGTCGAGACCTGTGCTTATCACTCTGCAGCGAGGATCGATCGATATATCGATTAGGAAAGAAATGGACAAACTCCGAGTCGAGACCTGTGCTTATCACTCTGCAGCGAGGATCGATCGATATATCGATTAGGAAAGAAATGGACAAACTCCGAGTCGAGACCTGTGCTTATCACTCTGCAGCGAGGATCGATCGATATATCGATTAGGAAAGAAATGGACAAACTCCGAGTCGAGACCTGTGCTTATCACTCTGCAGCGAGGATCGATCGATATATCGATTAGGAAAGAAATGGACAAACTCCGAGTCGAGACCTGTGCTTATCACTCTGCAGCGAGGATCGATCGATATATCGATTAGGAAAGAAATGGACAAACTCCGAGTCGAGACCTGTGCTTATCACTCTGCAGCGAGGATCGATCGATATATCGATTAGGAAAGAAATGGACAAACGTTTTCAGAGTTTGTTCTCGATAAACCTAGCATTTTTTCTGAGGCAAGGAACCAGAAACAGCGCCTACACGGACGTGTTAGCCACCTTGTCCGTGTTTTCCACCCATAACAACGTCGCTTACAGGCAGAATCGACAACGTCTTGGCCCACACAAGCAAATAATGACGCTACCAAGACGGTCACAAAACGCCCATCAGACAAGAAGCATCCGGGGTCAATGTAACGCTGTAAATAGATTTCATTGCGTAACTAAACCGCTTAAGACGCGTAAAAGTGTCATCACGTTCGAATGAAGACGAGGCCATGCGGAATTCCATCCCAAACTTCCTTTTCCAAGTGACTTAAAAAATCGTGTCTTTGCTTTAACGTCCAACCATTCGCTTCAGGCAAACCGGACGTCTGCTTCATCTGCAATTTCTACACTTTTTTCTCGTTTGTGGGTGGAGTCACTTTCATTTAAATGCAGAAAGTCATCTTTTATATCCCACGTTTCTTTATCGGTCCCGTAAAACCTGTTTGATGTTGAAACAAAGATGTCCTAGCTTAGAATTCACGTCAAGATTCGAGCGATTATTCCGTTTTCTGCATTTCGATACCTTAAGAAGTAAACAATTATTTTGCAGGTGGAATACGGGTCTGCAAATGTGCCAACAGACCTCGCCAACTGGCACATACCCAGGCCCTCACTTTGGTGTGCAGACTCAAACTGTACGTGTCACATAGCCAGAGAACGTCCAGAATGGCCGGGCGATCTACAAGGACGAGGTTCGACTTCCTCGCAAGCGTCCAGCTCCAGCAACACGAGTACACAGGTTGTATTAAATAGTCAGGAAAAATTAACTTTTTAACATTACGTAATTACTAAAGCTGACATAAACTCAGAAAAGACGAATTTTTGCGGGAGTTTCAGTCACTTACAGGGTACCAATCTGATGGTACAAAAATCACTACGAGTTTACAGAATTGTAAATAAAACAAAAACAGATTTTAATATTTCCCAGTAAAAAACAAGGATTTTACTAAAAAAAATCTTTAAATAATAAATTGCAAAACCACGAAAGACACTTTACAAACAAAACCTGATTTCTTATAAATAAATATTCTGTAAAATTAAACAAAACGTTTTAAGTAGGATCCTGCCTCTTAGTGGGCAATAATCTGAAACACTCGACTCCCTCTACGCGAAACGTTGATTTGCAGTGTCAATATTAGAAGACGATCAGTGGCTATTTCAGAAATTATTACATTATTTCCTTTGAAGATGGCTGTCTGCTGCTGTTGTACCATATAGTCTTTTAGATACCGACTGGTGTTTCAGAGAAAATTATCGCCGCCTTCATCAAGGCAGTAATCTCCTCTGAAACATCATTTGATTATCTATCAGGCAATTTTCCACATATCTGTCATTTTCATACCTGTCGCTGTGAGAATCTACAATTTTACCTAATACTTCCTTTAATTCCTTAATATTTACCGACTTTTTAAGTTACTAAATTATGCAGTTCAATTCTTCACCCTGTATGACATTTGCTAAGAGACGTCGATGCTTCCAACGTCCGACGTTTGTTCACGTGTACCCGGTGAGACTAGAATAGCACGTGACGATGTTTTGGCTCCGTTTCAGAGTGGAGCATCTGGATCCCTTCTGCTCACAGCGGCCAATCTCGCCGCTCTGAGGTACGAACCGACGATAATGAAGTCTCCTGACACGCAGTCGGTCGCATCTTCTACCCACTTCACCGTCGTAAATGGTATAACGAGAAGAAAGGCGCAACCCTTGCCGACGTGCTGTTGCCACTCGCATCAACTCACAACTCTAGTCTTCACAATGTCCATAATTTTCCTTGCGGCAATACTAATGGCTGTTATTTACTTGGAAAGTAAGTACAAAGGGAAGGAAATTGCTATTTGTACGACAGAGGGACAAATTCAACCTTTGACACCCCTGTGGGATCACTGCAATTAAAAGCAGGGCTGTGGAGTCGGAAGCAATTTTAGGTGGAGTCGGTAAAAATGTACTGACTCGGACTCCGACCTCGATATAAAATCTTAACGACAATTTCTATACCTTGTGAGACGCCATCGGCCTCACGCTTAGGGAGATTCGACGAGGCGTTGAGCCACGTGGCGTGGGAACAATGCTTTGTGACTCTGGCTCCGGTACCTTAAAAATACAAACTGTCTACAAATCAACTGATTTCTGCAAATAATCATTAGACATATATTTAAATATAGGTTATAAGTCTAAAAAAGTAGCCTGATGATTCACGTGGTGGTGATGAAATATCTTATGGTACCACTTACCATTTTAGTAGGTTTACCCTTATTAATACATATCGAGCTTTTATGAAAGTGTCGGGGTCGGAGATTTTAGCACCGACTCCACAGCCCTGATTAAAAGCATGGGTAGCGTCAGTCAGACTGGAGTACGCAAGCACAGAACTATATTGCCCCCCCAATCGCACAAGGTCTTTTAACGATTCTCGCGTTTCTAGTTACATTTGAGTCCCGGTATACGCGTGGTCCACTTGGCTGTGAATCGTGTTAGTATATCGCTGACGCCAGAGTTAAAATGTGGCTGGCAGCCCCCACAGTACAGAGGTTCAAATCCCTGATCGCTGTGGAATAAAGGTTAAGTAAGAGATACAAAAAATTTAACGACAACGGAATTTAATGACTTGTGACGGAATGTAACGTGAATTGCGAAATAATAAAAAATACTCTAAAATGCTTATGGAGAAACTACTGAAAAGATGAACTATGATAATCGATACAGGTGGCTCTCACTTCAAAATCTCACACATCCATGGTTTTGTTTAAGAATTATGAGGAGCACCAACGTCCGATCCACAGCAAAATTTTAAAGCCTATTACCTGTGTCACACCTCCAGGCTTATCAAAGAATGTGACGCAGATAATAAGTTCGGCACTGAAAAATTCTGGCCGCAGTTTAACATCAAAACGATGACTGTTACACTTTTTTTAAAAAAAATTTCATTATACGCGGTGATTAACGGGAACATGAGAGTCGCCTGTGCACGTAACTTAGGAAGACAACAATAATGAGTTCATTAACACCTGTACAAGCGACAGACAGTTACTAACTCGGCTTCAATGTCGTACAAACAATTCGTCCGATACTAAACACAGTAATGAGTTAAACGCTAAAGTTACAGTACACCAATTTTACTGTGACGATGAGAAGTCTTCAGAAAGAAGCATTGATACTAAAAATAATTAATCTAATTAATTTCATTACAGTGAGATGGCGAGACATCAACTTACTCAGATGAGGAGAACAACGAGAAATAATGTGATCCCATAAAAATCAAATTTCAAAAAAAAAATATGATGTGCTGTGTATTTCTTTTTTAATAACTTAAATAATTTCAAGAGGCATTACGGATGAAGCGTAAAGTGCGACTTCTAAGACTGTGGCTGTGATAGAACGTACTGCACGTATTTCGTCGTGTATCTCACAACGCAGGGACAAATGAAGGTATAAAAAATTACACCAGTATAACATGTTTCAATGATTGTGAATACCACAGGTAATTTTTACAACGAAGATAATGTGATGTAAGAGAAAACGGTGACACATCAAGAGATGATGAACCAAACGCATGGATAGATATGCATACAAGATCCAGTGCCAAACAGCGACCATCGTCCTACCTGCAGATACATATAACTAAAACAATAGTGAGATTTTACGAAGGCCGTTTTCCGAGATGTAGGGCCATGCAGTTCCGTAGGTACTGACAAATGTTTCAGAGGAACTTACGTCCTCAGTCATCGTGGCACGGTAGAACAACCTTGAAGACAGCCATCTTCATACTCGTCATCATGGGAGCCTAAAATATCACATTTACCACAAATTAATACTATGTGGCATGCTAAATTGTTACTGAATAATATTTTGCCAATGGTATAAATTAATTCTTAAGACGGCTGTCTTCTGGGTTGTTGCGCCGTGTAGTCTGGTAGATGTTTACCAACGTTTCAGAGGTCATACTGCCTCCGTCATCAGGGCGACGACAGCCATCTTCAGACTAACCACTGTGAAAACCTCAAATCCTACTAAGATTTTTCTTCCGTATTTCTTTAAGAAATGTTCATTGTGAGATAAATTCAAAAAGTAAAGTCACGGTACGAACAGAAAATTATAAATTATAAAGCAGCCTATTATCTGTCAAACTGTCATTTTTCCTTATCCGCATTCCTACTTCCATACATTACAGTAGTTTTCTCATGAAGAGAGAAATTTTCCTATAAAGACAGATTTCCACTTGCTATAGATTCTGTTTTAAGTAGGTTCCATTGCGAAATGTACAATTTAATATTATCCTCTCATAATCGCGAAGGTTACCCCGACCAAACCTTTGTATAGTCTATTGTAAAAATTATCGTAACATTAGTTAATATCTATGCTGATTGTGGGTAAAATTACTGTATCGATGACGCATATTATGGTGGACACGGTTATAAAAGATGTGGTGTTTAACATAGCAGAGATTATTGTAGTGATGATGAAGGCTTTTGTTGCCTTTAAATCTTGTAGCATGTTAACCAAATTATGACTGGATTAAAGCCTCGACCACAGACATTTATTTAATTTCCTCAAATTCAATCTAGATTTTTCATGCGTAAGAGCGTCATGTTGGACCTGCGTGATGTATTAAATAAAATTTTCCATTTTCCTTTATAGTTGCTAAGAGGATGTATGAATGTTGTCCTGGGTTCGCTCTACAACATTAGCGAAGAGGGCCATCAGACAGCCGCTTCCATACTGAACAACATCGTGCTAGCTCTTGGAGCCCTGTCGACTGTGGTCAACGCCATCATATCATCCTTCGACATGAGCGAAAGTGTAGTCGGATAGTTGGAAAATTTATTAATTAGCTCCCTTCGATATTATACAGACATCCGGTGACTTAATGTCATCACTTAAAATTATTTCCAGTCAGAAATCCCATATAAACATATGTCAGATTCTAAACGGTTAAGGAGATACGGATGTATGAAATTCAAGGCGATATGAGACTGTCGTAGAACATCAGAGTCATCTGTGTCCTGTAACAGCGAAAAATCGTTGATGTTCCGCTCTTCAATTTAGTTTGCTTTTATACTCCAAGCTTTTCACTGAAATCTATAGAAGCGAGGTCCGGCGACAGTAGAGGCCAACTCTGCGGACACCACGACCAATCCAAAGATCAGCGAACAGCTGACTCTAGTACGACATCATGTGTCAACCGAAACGCGGGGTGACCCGTCACACTGGAAGCACATCTGTGATGGTGTTTTGTGTCGTTCAAACCATCTTTGATTTATATATATAAAGCCGTAACCGTTGAGAATCGAACTCACGTTCATGACATTTCTGACTGGGAATGACTTCGTAAATAAGATCCTGAAGTCACCGAACATTTTGTATATATCTTCGACAGGACTACATTTCTCACCTCCCAACGCTCTGCAAAATGCGTTTACAGAGAAAAGAAACAATGCATCCAACTTTAGTGTTCATGTAGTTCACTGAAAAACCCGACGTAGGGTAGAAATGATTTTGTCTAAATATGACGCCACAGGGCGTCGGTACTTCAGAAGTGAGGAATCAGAATTACAATCAAATCGACTGAATTCCCGGTACCTGTGGATGGAAAGGTGATGTGTGGGCCCCAAAAGACTTACAGGACAGTGTGATGAAACCAACTTGTGTTTTATATTGATGGAATTACATATACATAATAGGTTAAAAATATTTATGATTATGCAGTTATAAAGTCTACATCATTTATAAATTTATAAAAAAAAATAGGTGGTTTAAAGTGAAATTTAAAAAGCAGATCACTGATCTTCAATGAAATTCGACTGAAAATAATTATAGACCTGAATATTCAGTGTAAAGAAATGTAAAAATAAATTAATTTAACAGATATTACACACAATGTTCCCAAAATCGTATTTTTTTCTAAAATTGTAATCTTGATTTTCATTAATTAAATACACTAATAATTTTAAGTGTTCTTATAAATGTATATCTGCAGATGGACACAAAATTGCATGATGTCGGGTGATTACGTATCATCAGGTATTACAGGGACGACAGAAAACAGCTGCGAAATATTTTATGGAAATCTCAGAATTTTTATACATAATAATTTGTTTCGATGCTCTTCTGTTTCGGAACCAAACTAAACAGCCCGAATACGGGGTACGTTTGATACCCACTGCATTGTACGACGTCTACAAATTAATTTCTAAAGTGTAGGAGGGGAGGAAAATAACAGAAAAGTTACTAAATGTTTAATTTGCACTTAGTTTTATCAAAGAGAAACAAATTCACTTTGAGCCAATCGCGATGTTTTTGGAGAGAGATTTCAACCACTAAACCTCAACTTTATCACGGCCCTCGCACTATACAGCAAAGATCGAATCACTTACAATTTTCAAACGGTATATATATATATGTATTTCTGTTGGCCGACGTTCTACTATTTATCGCTGTGGCGTCGGAAAATGGTCGATTTACGGTTAGGATAGGAAAGGTGAAGTAAGGTTGGGTAAGGTCAGGTGGGGTTATGTTAAGTTAGGTAAGGTTGGGTTATGTTAGGTCAGGTTTGGTTAGCTTAGAATTAAACGGTTGCTGAGCGACGAAAACAGCTGACATAGATCGCTTCGGTTACTCTGATAGAAAACTGATGTAAGCGATAAGTAACCTAATTACCAGATCGGAGACTAAAAAACAAACACGAAAGAGTCAACAAAGATGTTTATTTCTATCAGTATACTTCAAGCAACGGACATCACCTTTTAAAGCCTTTAGCCAAGTCATTGTAATTGATGAGATAATGTTTAATACTCGTGCCACAGCAACATCGAAGGCTCAAAGTCTTGCTGATGATGGAAGCAGTATTCACCTCCGAAACGTTAGCGAATTTCTACCGGACTACAGGTAGAAACATCCTATCTTTCTGATTTGCATGTTCACTTCAAAGGACTTCGCTATAAACATGTCTGTTTGGAACCAATTATTCAGTCTCCACTAAAAACTAGACAGGTGTTTTAATTTATTCGTAACCAGACTTAACGCCCTGCGAACGCCACCAAACCGCAACAAACACCAGGGATTGTTTCACAGGGTTGCTATAGTACCCAGTTTCGGCTTGGTTGGGGGTGGTAGCAACAGCGCTTTGCTTTGTAAGCAGTGGGGTATTGATTTACATACCCCATGCAACCCCTAAATATGCCGTAGCTAATATCTACAGGGTAAAACTGAACACATTCAATTCATAAAAACTGAATTGAATTCGCAACTGTAATAAAAAGTATAAAAAGTGGAGTATCACTTAAGTAAGAATATCTTACTGAGGGCAGGTGTTTTTTAGTGGACGAATCGATAGACAGAAACAATAATTAATAAAAATCGATTAAAATAGTCTCCCACAGGACCTTTATCTTATCTACATTGTATGTATCAGCCAAAATTGGTCCATCTACGGGAGTTTAAACTTAAGTTTAAAGAAGCCATTTGTATAATCTGTTGTTTATATACAGTACTTACCGTGGCATGCAGACTTACTGGATAATACAAGTTCACACAACAGGCTTCTTCACTCTTAAGTAGAGAACCTAAAGAAGGCCCAAATGCGCTGAAAGATACAGCGTAGATAAAATAAAATAAAAATTATGCAGACAAAACTATAGTGGGTCATTCCGAAACACAATTCGCTTTGTCATAAACCTGTCATTTTACAGAGTTACACAACTAACAATTCACATTAAAATTATCATATTCAGAACTAAATACCTTATGTCGTTCCCAGAATTGGATCAACCCAGGGAAGCACGCGAAGACAAGTTATCTAAGTTCTACAGAAATGCATGAAAGTCTATTATATTAAAACGGACCTCAAACGAGCAGTAAGGTCTATGTGCTACGTCCAACTGGCTTATTGTATGCTCCGATGGTGACACTAGTGAATACGATAATGGATATTATAGTTGCATAACAGGCGGGAATTTTGTTGAATAACTACGAGATTTTTTTTTTTTAGTGTTCTGTCTGACGACAGGTACGTATGAACAGGATCCTTCCCTCCTTTTCTCGGCCTGGGACCTGTTCATATACGTTCTTGGCAGATGATCCGGAAGTGGTTTGCCATTGCCTTCTTCTGTGTGTGAATGGAGTAATTGTTGGGATGCCACGGAGGAAAACTCCGTGTTGCCTAGACCACGGCCTTGCCCAACACAAGTTATAAATTCGGTCACCGCCGGGAATCGAACCCGAGACCCCAGGATTACAAGGCCAGCGTTCTAACCGCTAGACCACCGTGGTCCATTACGTTATCCAACAAAATCTAACACAATGAAGAAAAACATATAGAGAATCTCTCCGTAACAATCAACAATATCATTTTATGAGAACACTCGTACGGAGCTGTTTCTGCCACTTCCATTTTTTAAAATCACATTAAAATATGCAAAATTGCGATGCACTTTCATAATTTCTTTCTTCAGATTTGAAGCACAAAAGAAAATTCAATTATGGCGCCAGTACCACAAATAAAATGAATGCTAATTTTTCAGTCACTGGATAATTTTTCACTGAGATTCTAACAAGCACGAAGTTTGTGAAATTGTTCTCTTCCTACACTCTGGCCAACTGATCACCCATAAAATTAAGCATTGAAGAAAAAGAAACAAATATTTAAATAATTTCACCTATAAATTAAATATATTTTGTCACTGAACTTTTCAATTTGTATACGGTATTATTACGGAGAACAACTCAAAATGTCTAATATGCAATAAGCCTATACATTTACTTCAAAATGAAGTACAGGTAAAGAAATACAATTTTTGTAAAGCCTAAACTCATAAAAAAATTTTTGTATTTCTCCGATAATGCAAGTAAAGATTCTAAATTCTTTGAGATTTGGTGAAGAGGTAGGCTGTGGTATTGTGTGTTGGGCATTCTACCCTGAAGACGGAGGCAACGAGATGCTCTGAAACGTTATTAACCATCTAACAGATTAGATGTCTTAACTTATCTTTTCAGAATTACACACACTGCATCTCCTTAAAAACAAACCAACTGGCACATAATAATATTTTCATAATAAGGGTAATGGCAGCCGCAGCATGAAGCTGACCTTGTGATGATGTTAACTACACAAAACTTTACCTTTACGAGCTATATACATGCTTACAGCCTGACCCTAAAGCCAGGGAAGACGGAAACAGAAGAACATTATTAAAATGTTCAGTGACACTTTTGATTACTTTTGGTGAATGGCCTGTTTATTCAGCGGCCGAGTCGGCATACGACAGTTGCACAGTCGCGTGCTCAAGCCCAAACGCGTATTTCAAGTGAAGTATCAAACTCCCATGGCCAAAAGCGCATTCAATTCTAATGCTAAAGTACCCCGGCACTGGAGTTAAGTGAAATGATTCGCGTAATAATGGCTACTGCATGTTAAATAACCAATCGCTTAATCAACCTAACATTAACAATATGTGCATTTAAAACTGCGTACACACTTAGAAATTACTTTAATAGTCAAGATTCACAACGTATGAAGCTCTAAAGAGCCAAAATGTATTTCAGTTGCATAATTCTAAACGGTTAGGTACTCAGTTATCGATCACCTTCTTCGACAATAAGTAAAAATAAGCAATGTTTTACATCTGTGATAATTTTGTGTTCTAATGTGATATTAAAGGATCTGCATATAAATCTGATTGTTTTTTTAAATACGTTTCTGTTAATGTATCGACCTATAACCCAAAAGTAACATTACTTCATTTCCAATATGCACTAAAAACTATTTTACCACTTGGTGTGTTGTCATTTAACAACTATCCACAGTAGGCAAATGGCGGAATAGAGAACAATGGTCTGTAGCAGTTACACACTATTTTAAAAATGTACTTTCCATCAGAAGTAAGGATAGCTCAGTCAATATAGCGATCGACTACTGACTGGACAATCGGGGTTCGATCCCTGACAGGGGCAGAGGACTTTTCCTCTAGCCTCTGCATCCAGACCAGCTCTGGGACCCACCCAGCCTCCTCGCCAATGGGTAGCGGCAGCATTTTCCCGGGGGTAAAGCCCTCTCTCCCGCCAAGCACCTACATGGCGTGTGGCTTTTCTTTTACCGGCCATCAGGAGCTCAAGTGACGCAATTATTAAATTATTTAACTCTAACTCATCTTTTTTTTAAAGATGCACTAGCTCAAAATTTTCTTCCTAAATCATGATCCCACTTACCACCCAACATCACACTAAACAAAATACACAATTCAAAAGTAAACGACTGATACTTGGCCCCATAACAATTAGAAAGTATTCAAACTGAAAGCGCAAATATCTTGAAAAAAAATAAGTCTAATACGCATAATATGAACATATAAACTCAAAAAAAAACAGTGGTTAAACACTGAGAAGTGTGTTTTTGTTGATAAAGACTAATACAAGCTGCCGACAACTGCTAATCACTCAGAAAAATCCGGAGTCATAACGTAACCAAAAATAACACAACCAATCTACTGCCAACAAAATCATTTTTATGGAAGGCATTTAAAAGATTGTTGTTTACTCATCACGGGCTTTTATCAAAAACTTCAATTCCCTTTCCGCTATTGTGGGTCTCAATAATGGCAAATGTACAAGGCAAACGACAACTCCAACACAAAGAATTATAGATGTGAGGCCCTGGGCTGCCACTGTTCAAACTTTCTATATACGGAGATAGAAAATGGTACATGGTCTTTTTTAAGTAATTAACACAGAAAACTAAGCCTCTCCCATAAAGAAATTAGTTGTGGATCAATTCCACCACCACCACAAGTACTCAGAATGAACTATTTATTAAGAGACACATCACATTAGTTTAATTCCACACTAGGTGTAAATATTACGTTATCCATTGCTACAAGAATTCTGGACTATACTGCTGTGCTGCCAGGACATCAAGGATACTTTGACAAATGGCTCTGACATTGGGATTCACCTCAGTATTGTCATGCAGATGGTGTAGGATCAGACTGCCTCCTCCTTCCATCAGCATTGGGCAGTACCGCTTTGCTGCAAACAAATTTCAGATTTGACCCATACACTAGTGGAAGTGTTTCTTGACACAATGCATGGGGTAAACTGGTGAATACTAATACCAAGGTTAATGCTAACAGACATAATAAGTTATGAAAAGTACATATAGCATAATTATTCCAGTGAATCTGCTCTGTTGCTGCTTTTAAACTTAAAATTGAGAATATTCTCTTATCAGTAGCTTATTACAATGTGTTGTTTATTCCATGAAAACATGACCTTTAACCTTAGATCAGTGGTCCCCAACCTTTTTATGAGATCGTGGCGGGCACCAACCAATTAACAAAGTCAAATTTTCTTTTCTCTGGACAAATAAGATATGGACACCAAATAATACGCAAAACAACACGACGTTTAATGATACAAGAAACCGTGCAATCAAAAATACGTAGTTTTATAAGTACAATTATTATTACTCAAGTGGGAAGTTAGTGTGATGTTTGGTGCTGCATTTCATTGGCCAGTTTTTCAAATTTGGGCGTGTAGGATGATGTTGTCGCTCGCAAACAATCGTCAAGAAGGGCGTCAGTTAAGTCGAGATCTGCGCTTTGATTTTATAATGTTCATGGTTTAACGACCTTCATTATTCAGTATAACCTCTTTCCGTAACAATGCGGGCACCCAAAGAAAGCCTTGGCAGGCGCCATGGCGCCCGCAGACACCGCGTTGGGAACCACTGGTTTAAAGCATGAATTCCAACTCTTTGCTATGGACAAAGTTGTAAAATTTTTCATAAAGATTATACTGAGCCAAGGGATGTACATGTTGCATGATCAAAACCCAGGACCTACGTCAAACAATTTTCTTCTAAAAGCAACCCACGTTACTTTCAATCTTCTTGTTTAATGACCGACTAATTTTCAATCCTTTATAAGACTGCAGACAATATATTTGATCGGAACCTCTCACTTGGTGGTCTGCAAACATTTCCGACAACACTTTCATGCAGATTTGAAGAGAAACACGTGAAAACATTATTCCAGTCACAGATCATCAAATGAGTGAACAACCACGAGAGAAGACAACTCACTGGTCTGGGCGTCTGGAAAAACATGCAAATGTGTGCTTACCACTGACTTTATGATAATGAGCAATGGACAAAGACTCTCCACGTCACCATTTGTAGAAAGCATGTTTTGTGGTGAAGCAAGAGAATCGTTTGGTATTCATCAAACATTTCATTTTGTTCCTACTGCATTTGTCGCATTTAACTTTTGTACACGAGTATAGCAGTCAGATATAAACGGGACGCCTCTCGGCACAAAAACGACTACATTACATAAGGATATATCTTTTGATGTATCACTGGTGCAAGATTTTAAATACAGTAAATTATTTAACTGTATTCCACAGAAATTAAAAATGATTTCATGTGTTTTCATTGGACGCTTATTTAAATTCTGATACAAATTTATATAGTCTGTCATACTACAATTCGTCGTCATAATTATCCGATTAAATACTCTGAAATATTTACACAGTCCATTAAAGAACATAATTTCAGAGTAAAGTTAGCTCATTTCAAAACGCTTCTTTCCATGGGACAGAGTTCAAAAACTGTCTATAACGTAGCCACTTACCTCAATCTCTGATAGTGTTTGCGTCCACCTGTAGTTTGGAAGATCACAGCCGTTACCAGAATTGGGTTTCAACTTCCCCTTCTCTTTCGGGTCCTCCTCTTCATCCGAGTCCACTTTCGCTTCCCCTTCGGTTTTCTCAGATGGAACGACACTGGGTGTGTCATCTGAACTTTCGGCTTTGTCCTATAACAAAACCGGAGTTCCAATGATGGTGATAATTCCTCACTTTTCTAAGAGTACCAAAACAACAAGCATTAAACAGACCAAAATATGGGACTTGTAATTTTTCTGGGTACATAGAGACTGCAGTATTCTAATTTATAAATATATACATTTACCTTCATCTGTACAAATGCACAACCGTACTTCAAGTCAAAAACCTTCGTTATTAACATAAGTAATTCTTACACGGTATGTGAGAAGCAAATTATGTACATCTTAGTACAGACAACATACATACATCTTTATTACAATCCACGGATTCATAAAGTTAGTCAGATGACAGCACAGCGTGGAATACGTCATACTAATACAATACACCTTAAAGATTTCACATACTATCCTCGCTATGTTAGGTGACCTGTACAATTCACGTAACTCCTCCTTGAGCAAGGGCACAGTTCGTTAACCATACACCACCGAAAGAATCTACAGCATTTCCATCACCAATTTTCCCAACTGCTTCAAACTTTCACGTTAGATCATGGTTTGTGGTGACACGTTTCTGAACTTAAAAATTGTCCACACACTATCCTGTTCTCTAAATCCCAGTAAAAAGTAAAGCTGTCCCACTATATGCCAAGTAGGCGCTTGGGCGGAGAGGAAGTATAGCTTCTCTTCCTTGACCTCGGCACTAGATGGGGGTAAGTGGTCAGCATCACGCCCCGGCCGTGCTTTACCCCCGGGAAAGGACCCCGGTACCCATTGGATAGGAGGCTGGGTGGGTCCCAGAGCCGGTCTGGACGCAGAGGCTAGAGGAAAAATCCTCTGCCCGCGTCGGGGATCGAACCCCGGTCGCCCAGTCCGTAGCCAGTCACTATACCGACTGAGATACGCCAGCTCCCCTCTAAGTCCTAATACATTCACTAATCTATCAGGAACTGAAAAATACTGCTGTATGTATAGGGTATACATATGAAAACATGTATGAGCACACTCCAGCCCACCTGCATCTTTCTCTCTTGAAGCTACCACACGTAGCGAAACTTCAGTATGTAAAATATGCCAAAACAAGATCATTTTCTTTGCATCCACAATTTGTGAATAAAATATGCCAAAACAAGATCATTTTCATTGCACTCACAATTCGTGACATATACAACATGGCAAGAACTGTTATTAAAAATAGTAAACCACCCTGTAGTAGCTAGCGTCAACAAGTACATTATGACCTTGAATTACAGAGATTTATTCCCTTTATAAGAAAGGAAGACAAAAACATAACTCTAATAAAAACACAGAAATATAGCAATAAAGAAACTGTGAGAAGGGGAACGAGGTTATGAAGTTATGAGTTTCATAAGTGTCACTTCATGCCCAGAAACCTTCTCATTTTAATCTCGGAAGAGAAAGAGTCAGAGATTGCTCATCGGTCAATTCTGAACTTAGGAATCTGTAAGAGATAAGAATCTCAATGATTCCTTTCTCTTCCATCTCAAATGTTCGAAACAAAACTGCGATACCCTGTCGAAATACAAAATACAATTTGCTTCTGCAGTGCATTTCATACTTTTCTTACCAGGTTCATTCAATTATTTTCTCTGTGTCGGTTTATTTAGTTACTGCATATGTTAAATACTATAACAGTAAAACGAAAGGATGACTACAAGTCTCAGGTGGGGAAATATAAGACAGAAAATGTTCACTGATTACTTAAAGTACTTTGATAGCATAAAACACAAAATGGCATGGCACTGTATTTGGAAACAGATGTTGGTGGAAGTTGTTAACATTTTAATAGAGGATTTCCATTGGAATCGCATGCAGTATATAGAGGGGCATTGTAAAGTAAAGTAAAGTTTGTCCCACTATACGCCATGTAGACGCATTGGGGGAGTGGAGGTATAGCTCCTCTCTTCCTTGACCTCGGCACTAGATGGGGGTGAGTGGTCAGCATCACGCCCCGGCCGCGCTTTATCCCCGGGAAAGGACCCCGGTACCCATTGTAGAGGAGGCTGGGTGGGCCCCAGAGCCGGTCTGGACGCAGAGGCTAGAAGAAAAATCCTCTGCCCCCGTCGGGGATCGAACCCCGGTCATCCAGCCCGTAGCTAGTCACTATACTGACTGAGCTATCCCGGCTCATAGAGGGGCATTGTATCTGGGGTTATTAGCAGATGACTGAGGAACACAGAACATTCAAGCCAAGGAATCAGCTTACAGAACGTGCTTTAGTACATGAGCTTCTTACAGGAAAGTGCATTTACTCCGCCATATTAAAGGAATTTCCTGAACCCATTCCATACTTCTAACGATACCAAACATGTTTCTTCCCATTCAATGGTGTAGGGGGATGACATAATTACCATCATACCTATTTCCATGAATGAGAAGTCTAGAACAGAATTACAGCACCGGCTAGCCTCATATCGAACAAGGTAGTTCGCAATCTTATTCACATGCACATGTGTAACAAATATTAAAAAAGTGCCAAAATAAAAAGATCTCAATGGATACCTTTTCAATTTCATTCTGTAACTGCAACGCTTCGTCATCTGTCAGTTCAGTTATAGTGGCTTCCTCTTTAGAGACGAGGACTTCTTCTTCCTTTTTCTTCTGTACTAATCTATCTTTCCTCTTCTTTTCAATTTCCTCTCTCTCTTCTTTCTTTTTTGCATGCAAATCTAATGCCTGTTTCTGGTACTTCTTGAATTTTGCCATTACCAACTGTAATAAGAAATAAATTAACATTAACCTTAACAACAACGTCTTTTATATCCATGTATCACACCTACAGATAATTCAGAAGTATGAAACTCCCTGCAATAGCCAGATACAACTGACAAGCAGATATTAATAGACAAACGGCGGCACAGATGATATTTTTAAAAAGTACAGAGAACTGAACGTTAACACAACATGAAGATTTCTGTCTTCTCGGTTGTTGCGCTGTGTAGTCTGGTAGATGTTTACCAATGTTTCAGAGGTCATATTGCCTCCATCATCAGGGCCCTGATGACGGAGGCAGTATGACCTCT